TTATGTTTACTTGATATATCATTAGCATATGTTATTAATTGTACAGGTCGTTCTAATTGTTCAATACCTAATCCATCTGTACGTAATTTAAGTAAATTAATTATATCTTCTAATAAAATTTTAATATTATTTTCTAAACATTTAACTTTTGTTTTTAAAATTTTATTTAATTCCATTTCATTATCCAATTAAATTTTTAAATGTTCACGATATGTATTTGATTTCATATATGTAAAATATTTAAGAAGACGTTGTCGAAATTGATCTAAATATATATTAATTGAATTTAAAAATTGTTGATCTTCTTTTCCTAATAAACAATCACGAAAATGACAAATATTAAGATTATCATTTGATAATTTTGTCATATCACGATAATTAAAACGTTGATTTTTATTTGTTTGATAATATATTTCATTTGTTGGATGTAATTCATTTAATGTTGATTGATAATTTTTGATAATGTACGTTGACGTTTATTGATTCATCCTTTGATAACCCAGATTCATATTCTGAATGATTTTTACCTGAAAGAACTTTTATATAAAAAATTTTTTTTTTATTTTTTTTTTTTTTTTTTATTTTTATTTTTTTATTTTTATTTTTTCTTTTTATTTTTCATTTTTGTTTTGTTCGTCGTTGTTGTCGATGACGTTGATAATTTCTTCCATCAAATAAATCTTCTGGTATTTGTCGTTCGTATTGTTTCTTGATCAACTTGTTCTTGAGACCAACAACTAAGCATTCTTCTTGTCTCTTAACGTGTACATAATCGATATTGTATTCATCTAATACCATTCTCACCAATGGCAATGAATATTTAAAATATAATGGTTGAGTAACATAATATCGATAACGATGTAGACGGAGTTTCTTAGTTCTTTTTTTGTTTTTTCGTTTTCTTGCTGCTTGTGAACGTTCACGATGTGGTCTATTTTTCCTTCTTGTTGGATTTTCTTTAAGATCTTCATTTGGTGGTGTAATTTCTTCATTATCATTGTATTCTTCAAGTTGATTTCCAGCATTAATAATTAATTCAATATCATTTAATTCTTGTTCAATTGGTTCAGGTTCTCGTTGTTGTTGTTGTATTGGTTCAGTTGGTTCATCATTATTGAAGACTGGCGTATAATCAACATCAATTGGTTCAATTTGATCTTGTAATAAATCAATTTCATTATTATTATTATTATTATCTTGTTCATTTTTAAAATCATTTGGTTCAATTAATTGGTTCAGGTAAATTTCTCCATCTGATGATATTGACTCCAAATCTGTTTCCTTGTTGTTAATTAATTTTAAAAATTTGTGTAAATTGATGTTCTTGATTTTTTTCTTCTTTGTTGTTGATGTTGGTAATGGTGGAAGCTTGGTTGATTTAAATGCGACGAATATTTCACTGATCTTCCTATTTTTAATTTCTTCAAAAGTCCAATTTTCAGTGATTGGTCGTATTAAAAATGTAACAGCCATAACATCGTGTGTTGCATAATGTATCATCTTCTTTTGTTCAGCATATGATAATGATGAATAACTTGATGATAAACTTGATGACCAATGGCTTAATGAGCACGATTTATCTAGAAATAAATTACATCCATACCTAAATGCATTTTGAAGAGACCAGAGTTCATTAATTTTGTATGGTGATGGTGGATGACAATGACATGATAATTGTTGTTGATGTTGTTGTAAACTTTTATCATCATTGTTCATATCATTTCGATATGACAGGCTCTGGACCCCACACTGGGTCCGTGCCCAATTATACCACATTGAATAATATGGTTGAATATCAATTAATGTTGCAGGAATTGGCCAGATAAATAATTCTTTTGCTGGTTCAAGTTCTTTTTGCATGCTTCCCCAGGAATAGATTTCATTACCTGACCTAAAAATTAAATGAAACAATTGATGAATATTTTCATACTTTTGTGAATGCTGATCTGGTAAGTGGTTCAACTCGAATAACATTACAAATGATGGTGGTGTAATTGGTATTGAATTAATTTGTATTAATGATAATTGATTGTTCGTTCGTTCAGACTCTGTGTCTACCGAATATTGTCTGCATGTATTCACGTGGTCCAATAATTTGTTCATCATGTTTGTTGATGTGTTATTGTTCACGAATATAACTTCATAATCTGACGAATGAACATGAAATGTTGGATATTGTGAACTATGTGTACGAGATGATGAACGATACAAATGTGATGATGAATATTGATGACGTGAACGAGATGGTGAACGAT